GTATAAGTGACATGTAAGTAGCCTATAAGTCATTTATCAGTCGCTCCCTACCTATACGTGGCTTATAAACCACTTGCAATTTGAAGTACAAGTCACGTATAGGACACATATAAGTCTCTTTCGAAGTATAAGTAAAATATAGGTCATTGTACTTGACATACATTTGACATGGCGACATATACGTCACATATAAGTGACAGATAAGTACATTTAGTAAGGGGACCTCCATCTCTTGTACTATATACGATCTAACATGAACCTATCGAAAAAAATACATACAATTGTTGAAGTAGAGGAGTAATCAGTATATTATCAGGGAGGTGTAATAAGATCGTCGTTTCGCCTTGCGATCTTGTTTACGACGAGGGAGCAGTCAATTAACACTAAGGTGCCCGTGATTCAGCATTTTTGAACAAGATTCCAGGTTTTATGGATTCCGGGAAATGAAAACAACGCTCAATATTATAGAACCAATTTTAAATGTTTCATAAATAATACACTTGATTTTGTTCCAGGTGAGGATAAACTGAAATTTACGCCAGGGCAGTTCAGACTTTCTGAAGACGGGTCGGTAATAGAGGACGACGACGTAGGGGCCTACCATGTGCCTTGGAAAAAATGACCAAAATTAATGCGATGAAGATAGGAGAATCATTCATTCTGCCTGGGAAGCAGCCTGCTACTGCTAGTATGCCTGCCTCGGACTCGTCCTCTTCTGCTCCGGGTAATTTTTACCCGTCAGCATGCACAGTGTTCAGAATTGGTCTACACACATGTATTTAGTGATTTTTATTAGCTGTTGATATTAAACACTAAAACAAAATATCCTTGGCAATGTGATATCACTACATTTATACACATGAAATTAACTGGTTTTAAGAATGGCTTTCCCTACAACACTAGAATGAAATGTTTCTGCATTTTAATTTATAGGTGAGACAGATGATCCTGCTCCTGGTACAATCCAAGCACGTCTCCAGAAAATTAGAGAAATGCGGCTACAGAAAACAAAAAATTTAGGTAAATATTACAGGGGTTTATGTTGCATGTGTAGAATCCTCTTGAGTTATAGATAGACCAGTGAGTAGCCAGTAGCTAACCATATTTAATGGGTAGAGCGAAAACATTTTTTCTCGCATCTTCACTCACTATATCTCTGTTATACTTACTAACATTGCTAAAGACAATTCCTGACACGAGAAAACACATGAACATGTGGCTATAAATAGTTATTATGCACATTGATAATAATTTAACCAGGAACCTTTCACGGAAAATTAGATTATGGCTGTCACGTATTCAGAGGTTTTCATGAAATTAAATTCGGCCTCTGATCTCACATACATAATAATTAATTACAGCAAATACCATTTTTATAAAACATAGGGACATGCTCTGCCCCATGTAATATATAGATAACATTACATAGAAGGAAAACACTTGAGAAACATATAGCGTATAGTACTACTGTTAATTCTCCAGAACAGATACAAGGAGGCAGACACCATTTTGTTCCCACGGTCGTGTGTACGGAGGATATTGCTGACATATTTCCATAATAGTCACCATCATCATTATCATCATTGTCATCGTCACCATCATCATTATTATCGGTGTTATCGTCATCATCATCTCCACGTTTGCTGACTACCGCTTCGTTAAGCGGTAACTGTGCAGTGTCTATGTAGTCAGGAACACCTTCAACGCCAAGCTCACCTATTACATCTAGTATTCTTTCTGTTTGACTGTCAAGTGGCGATGGTGGTGGCCCGCCGGCCGTCTGCCCAGCTTTTGTTCGTTCGTCAGTTTTTTTCTTGGCTACAAGTTTAAGCTCAAACCACTTCTTTTTCACCTGCAATGCATAAGATAAGAATTTGCACTACGTGTGCCGTGGAACGCACTCTCACACACGCGGGCACACGCGAAGGAACGCATGCACACTCACGAACACTGGATCGTCATTTACTGTATACATCATACATCTCAAACGATAACGCTCGTGTTTGAGGCATATATTACAGAATGAGCTGGCTAGCTTTGGATTTAGCCTCGTTGATGCTAACATAGAATGAAAGTGTCAATAACACTGTAGCTCACCACAAAAAAGGACACAAATGAGTGAGTAAGAAGAAGTCAGTTTTAATTGAGCAACCATCGCAGATTTCATTTGACAATTCTTTAATGCAAAATTGTATTTATCCTCTCCCACCCTGCGGCATAAAACGTCTATATTAGTTCATTAAAGTTTTACAAACATGTCGGAACGCCGCATAACCTATTTTATTTCAAACCGCCATCGCTACAAAGCGGGTATAGGGCGCCATCTATCGAGTCACAGAATTGTGATTCATTTTGGTTGTGTGTATAAATTATTTATTGCGCATATAAGTTGGCAATCCGTTTCTATAATGTGCGGCGATGGTTGCTCAATTAAAACTGACTTCTTCTTACTCACTCATTTGTGTCCTTTTTTGTGGTGAGCTACAGTGTTATTGACACTTTCATTCTATGTTAGCATCAACGAG